TGGAAGAGAAGTCACCCCATGGCGCCATTTCACCCATAAAATTTTAGCTCTCTGGTGTAATTCAAGATTATTTTCTTTAAATCAACACTGCACTGCATTATATATTGTCAATATGTAAAATATATTTCAAAATGACCAATAATTTGCTTGGAAACACAGAAAAAAAGCATTTAGTTGAAGAGAGTCTCAAGCAAGATGTTACCTCCAGTGAAAACAGAGAGACTAACTCCTGTTTGCTGTGTTAAGAGGCTGGATGCCGCGCATTAAACTAGTCACTTTACCTTCAATTATGTTCAATAATTGTTAAAATGACTAAAAAATTGAATATTAAACTTTTAAAATTATTGAATAGTATAAATTTCTTGATATTTACTAAAATAGTAAGGAATTTAAGCCCTAGAACCGATTAATGTATTGGCGGACTGATACTAAAGCTGGTTGCCCGGTCAGTGCAAGCGAAAACATGTTGAGGCCGGTTCGTAAGAACTTCGTTAACCAAATTTTTTTTCATTAACCGAATTGAAGATCCTTATGGAAGGCAGTTCGTTAATCGAAATTCGCTAACCGAGGTGTTAAGTTAATCAGGGGAGACCACTGTATATATATATATATATATATATATATATATATATATATATATATATATATATATATATATATATATATATATATATATATATATATATATATATATATATATATATATATATATATATATATATATATATATATATATATATATATATATATATATATATATATATATATATATATATACACCTAAACCCCGACTTACGACGGGGTTAGGGACCCAAATCCAGGTCGTAAGTCCGATATGGTCGTAAGTCCGATATAGATAAAAAATAAAAAAAAAAAAAAAAAATTCAAAAAAAAAAAAATTCAAAAATTTTTTTTTTCAAATTTTTTTTAAAAATCTACAATGAAATACAGTACCCTAAACGTAAAAAAATAATGAGGAATGGATACAGTACAGTAAAAGTAATAAATAATGAGGAATGGATACAGTGTGACTGAGCACTTACCTTAAATGTAGTCAGCTGAATGCACACAGGGCCCCCATAATTTTCTATTTACAGGATACATGGAGACTATATTAATTGGAAGAAGCAGAAGAGGAGACAGGGCTGGGTGGGTCATCAATGTCGCTTCCTTCAGACAGGTTTATGTACTGTGGTAACTTGCTGGTTGAAGGTATTGGATCATCTTGAGGGAGTGAAGAGGCAGCACTGGTGGGGCGTGAGGAGCCAGTACTGGGGGACTTCTTGAAATAGGTGTCCAATTTAGACTGCACAGTTTTCTTTTTCTTTTCATTATAAATTTCTCTGTAGCAAGCAAGTGAATCTTGGATCATTCTGTCAACTTTGGCATAACGCTCATAATTTTGATCCATGCCATCAAACATTTGCATTCCTTTATTAATTGTAGCAAATGCCTCTGCCATATGTTTCACTGAAAACTTTTTGGGGGGTGCAGGCTCTTCTTCTACATTTTGTCTCTCTTCTTCCTCTGCAACTTTCTGTGCATCTAGTTCAATAAGATCCTCGTTACTGAGCTCTTCTGCTACACTTTCAACCAACTGTCCAACATCTTCAGTATCAATTTCTAACTCCAGCTGTTTACCTAAGTCCACTATCTTGTTACTAATATCCAAAATAACTTCACTTTCATTAAATCCTTTGAAACTGTTCACATATCTTTTCAGGATTTTCTTCCATATTCCATTCATGCAATGTTTTGTAACCTGATCCCATGCTGCACTAATGTTCTTTATACATGACAAAATGTTGTACTCCTTCCAAAACTGTCTGAGCGTTTTCTCACCTTCAGTAGCAGCAACAGCCTGAGCGAAGGTCGTGCGTAAATAATATGCTTTAAAAGCTGTAATAGCACCTTGATCCATGGGTTGGATGATAGAGGTAGTGTTAGGTGGCATGTACACTACCTTAACATCAGGGTGCATGTCGTCCAGGTGTGGTGGGTGTCCCGGAGCATTATCCAAAATCAGTAAAATCTTGAATGGAATCCTTTGTTGCAGACAATACTCCTTGGCTCGTGGAATGAAACAAGTCATGAACCAATCCTCAAATAGTACTAGGGTCATCCAGGCTTTCTTGTTACTGTGATAAAACACTGGCAGTGTGTGCTTGCTGACATGTTTAAAAGCCCTGGGGTTCTCTGAATGATAGATCATGAAGGGCTTTAGCTTGAAACCAGCAACATTCCCCCCAACAGAAGTGTAATTCTGTCCTTGAATGCCTTGAATCCGGGCATTTTTTTTTGCCTCTTTGTGGATGTATGTCCGGTCAGGCATGCGTTTCCACAATAATCCAGTCTCATCCACATTGAATATTTGCTCTGGCAAATAATTCCCTTCCACAATCACATCATCTAACTCCTCCTTAAAAGCTTCGGCAGCACCAACATCGGCACTAGCTGCCTCTCCACTCACCTTAACACTGTGTAGACTGTAGCGTTTTTAAATCTATCAAACCACCCTTGACTTCCTGTAAAGGTTTGATCACATTCATCTCCTGCCTGCTCCTTCAGGCTTTGGAACAGGCTTCTTGCTTTAGCCTGTATGGTTAGAACACTTAAGGGTACACGCTTCTGTATCTGGTCTTCTATCCATATCACCAATAATTTTTCCATATCGTGGATAGGACCTTGTCTTTTCTTTGTTATTATAGTTCCCTTTATAGGTGTTGTTCCTTTCACTACTTCACGAATACGTTCCTTGTCCTTCAGAATAGTGGATATAGTCGAGTGTGAGAAACCTAGGTCGCGTGAGATTGTTGCTACTGTTTTTCCATTCTCATACTGTGTTATTATCTTCAGTTTCATCTCAAAAGTAATTGCCTGTCTCCTTTTCCTTGGAGTACCACCAGCACTCTCACTTTTACGCTTTCCAGTCATTATAAAGTCAATTAAATACAATAATAACGAAAGTTCACAGCGCGATCAGTATAGGATACGATAGCCAAACACAAACAAAGCGCTCCACTGAGTGAGTGCAGCCACGAGGCGACCCAAGCCATCCCTCCCTCTCGCCCGGGACGGAAACGTTTCGGTATAGAAAATGCGCGCGTCATTTGAAAAAATTTTTGGTCACGGCGGTCGCAGTCGTATGTCCCGTATGGACGTACGGTCAAAGCAGGTCGTAAGTACCATTGGACGTAAGTCCGTATAGTCGTAAGTCGGGGTTTAGGTGTATATATATATATACGTGTATATATATATATATATATATATATATATATATATATATATATATATATATATATATATATATATATATATATATATATATATATATATATATATATATATATATATATACATACATACATACATACATACATACATACATACATACATACATACACACACAGTGGGGTATGCTATAACGAATGGATCCTACTACGAATATTCCTATAACGAACGGTTTTACCTATAAAATTGAGAATGCTATAACGAACGAAACTCCTACAACGAACATTATTTATTTATTTATTTATTTTTTTTTATACTAATTTATTGTTTTTTTATTACAAGTATTAATGATATTCTTTATTTCAGGGGTTTAGATGCATATGTATGCACTTTTTTACAATTTTATATATTTTTCAGTGTTAAGTGGTTGTATTTGGGGGCCTGGAACGGATTAATCCTATAACGAACGAATGCTATAACGAACAAGGTTCTAGAACCAATATATTTTTCAGTGTTAAGTGGTTGTATTTGGGGGCCTGGAGCGGATTAATCCTATAACGAGCGAATGCTATAACAAGGTTCTGAACCAATTAGATTAGATTCTTATACCCTGTGTGTATATATATATATATATATATATATATATATATATATATATATATATATATATATATATATATATATATATATATATATATATATATATATATATATATATATATATATATCCAAAATTATTAGTTGAAAATAACCATATCATAACATATGGTTCAGAGGATAAAGGAGCTTGTAGCAAGTATGGTGATGAATAGAAAATGTATAATGTGTGATAATGGTTGTTTATTGCTCAAGTTTTTCTATAATTTTCAAAATGTCTGTTAATGTTTATCACATACAGTATAGTACTACTGTATTACAGTTCTTCCAGTTAGTATTCCTGCAGTGATCAACTATTGGACAATTCTTTGTAATAAAACTGTCTCCTAAAAGCTGGGAATGATGTACAGATGCTATAGCTGCTTTACTCCTGAACAGTTGCTTCAAGTATATAAGGGAGTCATTTGTCCTAACTCATATTTGGTGTGGTTATTCTTCTCTCCAACTGTTAATAGGGTGAAATCAAAAGCATTTCATCTAATTAACTCTCCTCCTTTAGTCACTAATCTCTTCCCTTTCTCTTCACCACAATGTTGCTTCACTCTCTCTCTTTTACAGGTACTTCAACGGTCAATGTTTGGTGGATTTGGCATTTTGTGTACCGCCGGCAAGGCGATGGGCGCATAACACTCGTCTTGCCTGTGGTGCCTACTGTTTCTCTGTGGATGTCGGTCACACTAGAATAATCCATTATAGTACATCCCTCTTTCCTCACACAGCCAAACTGTGGAATTCTTTGCCTTTTTCTGTGTTTCCATCCACTTACAATCTCTCACTTCAAAAAGTGGGCTATTTTCCATAAAAAAACTTTACCATTATTCTGAGGGTTTATCCATAGGTTTAAAGTGTCTATTATAAGTTATAACTGGGTTACATTATAATGAGGGTTTACTGTATGTACGGTAGATCCTACTGTACACCCACTAAAAAATTATTCGGCAACTGTGTCATATTGTATCAAGCCGTAAGGGTGCCGAATATTTTTTTAGTGGGTGTACAGTAAGTAGAAAAAAATATCTTATACCTAAGAGCTACAATTTTATCTATGAATTAAGGTCTTCATAATCTGTAATGTCTGACTCTCATTCACATTATTAAACATTTCATTTAAGAAAATGAGGAAGAGGCAGCCTTTTGTCCCAGCCCCCCACCACCAGAACCTGTTTGTGTGGAGTCAGACGAGGAGATTCCTGCCACTCCACAGCCAGACTCATTAGACCTTGTTAACAACGGCGGCCGAGCCAAGAAGAGAAAACTAGTCAACGAAACTTATGCGGGTGAAGGCGGATTCTTAGGTGAGTGATTGGTCTACTGTATCGTTTTGTCTTTTTAATTATTAATTTGGTTAAGGAATAATTTTGAGTTTCTACCTTTTCTTTGAATTTGGAATAGGGTTTACACAGTATGTACTGTACTGCATCAAAAGAGGCTCAGGGCTGGGCACATAAGTAGGAAGTATTGATGTCTTTTTAGCATTCATCAAGTGGTGGATAATAATTAGCTTGCCTTTATATACTTCCTTGTAGTTTTAAGCATCTGTTCCACCCCATGTAGTTGAGGATAGGGTGAAGTTAATAGGTTAATATACAGAATTTAGAGGTTTTATTTTTATTTCTTGCAAGTTCTTCCCCACTGTGGCACTGATTGCCAGCATCAAATAAACTGTGTGTGTGTGTGTGCACGCACGCGTGCATGTGTGCGCATGCTCGGGAATCGAACCCTGGACCTCTGCGTGTGAACAGGGATCGCTACCACCTCGCCACAAGAACATCAAAAGCAATCCTAGGCCTTGTTATGTAACATTTACCATATTTTGACAAATATAAACTGCACTTTCCCTTAAAAAATTTTGGGAAAAGTTGGGGTGCAGCTTACTATCAGATACAAATTTTATTAACACCTCAAAAATACCCTTCTGTACCTGTATTACCATAATTCCTTGTAAGCTCTCGCACCAACTCTAACCAGTCTCCATCCCCATTACTACCTCACCCTAAGTCAAAATTACCATCAGTACCACCATTACTATCATCACTCTCCCATGAGTTTGTGTACAAGAATTAAGTTCGGTGAACTGTATCAGTTCTACTGTGTCTGAAACCCTCAAAGTAGCTATAGAACATTAAATCATTTACTGATTTTAACTTTACCTTAATTTATTTTCATAATAAAAGGATATTATTATTTGTATGGTAGGTTTAAGTACAATATTTAAATTTGTTAATCTGTACATTTGAAGATAAATATAGGCTCCTATTATTGAGGTCTAGGGCAGGGGTGGGCAACCCTTGGCACGCGTGCCAAACATGGCACACTAACGGCTTCTTTCCGGCACGCGAGACCCGGGCTCACCTCAATAAAAAAAAACCTTTATATGGCAACCGCATGCCGCCTTGGCGGCAGCGGGTGGAAGGATTGTTTCCCGTTCTGTTGTTAAATAATTAGCCATGCGGCCAGACGTGGTGTGACTCCTTTACCATCATTAATATTTTATATATTTTTTCGAGTTTTGCAGTTTCGCAAAGAATTTATCGGTTAGCAAAATCCAAGTTCAGCAATATGAATGTTTAAATTTAATTAAAAGAAAAACAAATATTACACCAAGATCTGTAATAATTATCTGGCTATCAGAGATTGCATTAAAAACATTATATCAAAAGTCAACCTCTTTTAGATCACTGGGTCATTATATGGCACATTAACTTAAAAGGTGTCTTAACTTTCATGGAAGGGAACATGGCTTTTTTGCTCAGTGTCCCATAAATGTCACATGCATATCCGTTCTCTCTAATCATTGTTCCTCTGGTGGTGAATGTGTGAAGTGTGAACCAGCAAAGTAAACATAGCAAGAGGGAGAATCGCTGACCACGTGCAAGTAAGTTATTATTTACTGTCCAAATTATCAGCTGTCATAGTGTTTGTCATGCTTACCCATAAATTTATCGATGTTCCTAAGACACTGCTGAATCTGTATACTCCTGTGCACAAGGAAAATTTGGCGCAACTTACCTTAGCAAGGCGATTTAAATTTTGCCCCTAAAATGTGACCTTTTTTAAGCTGAATAATGGATCTCACCCCGCTTAAGTGAGTAAAGCAAACCTTTGCTGAAAATTTTATGAACTTGTTGGTAGTGAGTATATTTATGGAGCGTGACATATCTGGCACACTGGTCAGAAGGTCCAAAAGAGGTTAATGAAGCCTGTTCTTCAGCATACTGTATGTGCCATAAACATAAGTTATTATTAAAGCTAAGGGAAATGTATTATTAATATTCAGGATTATGAAGTGTTATCTGCACGTGATCAGATAGCATGCATGCCTTTCTCGTTGATTTGCATTGTGTAGGCATGCCTATAATTGTACCAATTTATTTTATTTTTTATTTTTTTATTATCCACCAACTGATTTTCATAAACCTTGGTATATGTATGCAGAGAGTTGTTTGTAGGACTTCTTCTGTGAAGAGACATTTTGAAACTGTTCATAAAAACTTAAGTAATGTAACTGAGCAAGAACGAAGAGAATTAATTTCTCGTGAAATGATTAAGACAAAAAAACAGTCTGATGTTTTGATGAAATTTATTTCAGGTAGGCCAAGTTCCAACTTAGTTGCTGCTGGTTTTGAGGTTTCAAAAGTTATTGCCCAACATGGAAAGCCACTCAGTGATGTGGAGTATATTAAAGAAGCATGGCTAGAATGTGCTCCTTTCCTTTTTGATAACCTTTCAGAAAAGGACAAGATTATTCAGCGCATTAAAGATTTGTCTGTGAGTAGAAAAACAGTTAAGGATAGGATACTTAAGATGGAAATGAATACAACTGACCAATTAACAAAGGATTTAGCTTCATGTAAGTTCTTTTCTATTTGTGTTGATGAAAGCACAGATATTACATCATCAGCTAGGCTAGCAATTTTTTCTCGATTTTGTAGGGATGATGAGGTATGCGAAGAGATGATTAACCTTGTAACACTACCTGAGCGTACCACTGGGGCTGACATATGTAAAGCAGTTGTGAACGAATTATCTATTCGACAAATTGACATTTCAAAAGTAGTATCCGTCACAACAGATGGTGCACCCAGTATGATTGGTAAGGAAGCAGGATTTGTAAATCTGTTTGCAAAACATGTTGGTCATCCGCTGATAGGTTTTCATTGCATCATACATGAGGAGGCTTTATGTGCTAAAGCTGGTCTAAGGGAACTTCAAGAAGTGATGCAAACAGTCACCAAGGTTGTTAATTACATTTCTGCACGTGCCTTAAATAAAAGACAATTTCGGAATTTATTGAATGAGGTGGATTCGGTGTACAAAGGACTAACAATGTACAACAATGTTCGTTGGCTTAGTCGAGGATTTGTTTTGAAACGATTTGTTGAATGCATGGATGAGATAAATCTCTTTCTGATTAACCAACAAATGTCTTATAAAGAAATGTCTGACATCGTGTGGGTTTGTAAACTAATGTTTTTTGCAGATTTATGTGAACATTTAAATGACTTAAATGTTAAATTACAAGGCTCTGGTAAGACACTTGATGTTATGTTTGATTACATAAAGGCATTTGAAATGAAACTAGGAGTTTTTAAGAGGGATGTAGATAGTGAAAGATTTAGATACTTTCCAAACCTAAAGAAATACATCAATGATCTCACAAAGGATGACAAAACAGACTGCCAGTGTCTTCAGAAGCTATTTGTAAACATCATTGAGTCAACTGTTGAGCAGTTCTCAACAAGATTTGCTAGGTTCAGAGAATTAGAAGAGACTGCAAAATTCATTAAGTTTCCAGACAGTATAAAACTGGATGAACTAAACTTGCAGAAGTTTTCATGGATAGATATGGATGATTTTGAAATGCAATTGATTGAATTTCAAACTAGCTCAATTTGGAGGCAGAAATTTGTTGAGCTTAGAGCTGACTTGGAAAGTATTGAAAAGGATCGATTAGAGAAGGGAGTAAGAGAGAGAAATGCCGAAAACGAGGTACTGAGGACTTGGAATACTATTCCAGAAACTTTTGTCTGTTTAAAAAACTTGCAACAACATTACTATCCATTTTTTCATCTACATATTCTTGTGAATCATTGTTCTCAGTGATGAACTCTGTTAAGTCTCATAATAGAAGTAGCCTTACTGATGAAACTAGTAGCGCATGTATATCTCTCAAGGTTACAAAATATAAACCGGATATAAATTATCTATCATCAGGGATGCAGCAGCAGAAGTCTCATTGATTCTAAATAAAGAAAAGGTTCACAATTATTCGTTCTCTAATTTTCATTTGATGTATTCTGTTAAAAATATTAAGGATTCCCTTTTGTTTAATATAATACAGTGTGTATTTTTGTAGGTAAAATAACTTTTATATTTTCTCTGTGGTTTTTATGCATCATTCATAAAGGGTTAAGAATCAATAAAAGAATATCTTTAGTTTTATATCCTTTTATTGTGTTTTAGTCGAGTAAATCGATATTGAGCTTGGTATTGTAATGTACTGAAAAAAGTTTACAAAAACTAATGGCTGAATGATCTGATAAACAAATCAAACTTATTGTTTACTCTTTTGCCGATGCTAAAAATAACGTCTTTAAATTGTGTGGATGTATATGACAACTAGATTTACACTGAAATGCTAATATAAAACATCCACGCTAACAACAGGGAAGAACAACCACTAAGTAAAAATTCTGTCACTAATTTTTACATTCATTCAATATCCCATGATTTATAAAATCACTCTTACAAAACTCTCTGATTTTACCACCCCGGTGTGATTTCTGATTATTTGAAAAGGTTCTCCCATTACGTAAAAGATACCAAATAATATGTGACCCGGAAATTTTGGTTGGCACGAGAGAAAATTTTGTATCAAAGATTTGGTCGATTTTGGCACACACACTCAAAAAGGTTGCCCACCCCTGCTCTATGGTAACTTAATGATATTCAGATATCATAGCAAGTTATGAATCACAATCTTGAGTCTATATACTGTATACATATTAGTAAATTATTATATCAATTTTTTTCGTCTAGCAATACCAGTATATATATAGAAAATGACAACTCCACTTTGGCAACGTGAGAGCCGGTCCTCGAGTCAATCCCTTGTGTCACTTGACTTAGACGCCGTAACCATCACAGCTCACGCCAGTTGATGCTTGGGGGAGACGTGGATGCTCATTGCTCCTGGCATTTCACAACTTTTACAATGCTTTTATCACACTCAGCTTTCCAAAAGAATTAGCAGCATACTCTCAGGCATGAGTGATGCATTCACCAACATTTGTGACAATATATTTCTTTTTGTTACATCATCACTAATGGCTGTACCTTTTTGTTCACTAACTCTGTTGCCACATGATGACAAAAATAATTAAAATAAATAAACACTTTTGAATCACTAACCTGCAGTGTAATATATATAAATCTTATCCATACATACTGGAGTAGAGTATTTACCACAATGTTGGTGATAGAGAGGTGGTATAATACAGTTAATCACTGTCACTGTCTTCCCCCCTGCAGTAGCACTAATGGAGGCTCAGGGGTGAGGACTGGTGTAGGCGTAAAAGAAGACCTGTCTGACTCGTGCAGTATAGTTCTAACTTGTCCTTCAAGATAAACTCCCTCCTGGCCCTTTTCTAGCTTGTTTTTGACATTGTCTTACCGTTGGAAGCCATGGTAACTAGTAAATGAAGTCACAAATAGTCCGTGGGAGTTAACTGAAGCACATGTGTGAGCTGTAGAAGCACAACTGGCCTGTCAACAAAGTGGCTGCAGGGTGGTGTTGTGTGCAGCAGATGGCCATCCTGATTTTCCATCTGGAATTTTCTCAGTTCATCCTCATGTCCCCCAATTAGTCTGGATTAACCGGGTTTTACTGTATGTGCATATGTATACAAGTACTCAATGTCATATACAGTATGTATGTATCTCGTGTTAAGAACAAATTTGAATGTGAATGTGATTTTGATCTCAAACTTTGGGGTGTGGCCTAGAATTGAAGGCCAAGTTTTTTTGCATGAATTTTGTCCAAAACTCACCCTGCAGCTTAGAACTGGGGGCGACTTATATTCGTCAAAATATAGTATCAGCCACTCAGGCGGTTGGTTTATAAACTTTATACCTGTACAGTGTTAATACAGGAGGAAACCGGAGTTCAGGAAACCTGTATTGTTTGGTCATGTTACACTAGAAAAGATGTTTAGTAGTATCATTCTCTTTAATTACCTTACAGCTTAATTAGAACAGCAGTTTTAAAGATTTCTGTTCTGTCATCTGTAAGAATAGCTAATGTTTTCAAATTGTTTAATTTAGAATAGACAGAATAAATTGTTCAGTTTAGAACAGACAGAAATCAAGTCCTTCACCTGTATGATGATTTAACACATAATCGAGCCATGTAAATTAATTTGATTCAATCTTCTTAATTTATTTACTAACTCTCATATTACTCTTACAGTCACAATAAAGAAATATAAATGCATTGAAGTCTCAGATGAGGAGGATGTCACCTCACCTAAGAAAGAAAATGCTTCTCTTGAGACAAAAACAGAAACTTCTCCTGAAACTGAAATGAATACTTCTCCAAAATTAATTGGTGATTTACCACAAAGTAAAACAAAAACTTCACGGAATAAAACCACGAAGTCCAAAAAGAAGCCTCATGATTTGGATACCAAGAAGAAGCAGTCGAGTATCATGAGTTTCTTCAGTAAAAGGTGATGGTGTTGAAAATAAACTATGATGGGTGGAAACACTAGTTGACGGGTTGTGCCTAACATAGCACACTGTAGTGTACAGTATTGTTCCCTTGGTGATACTATGATAGTGCATGGTTTTCTTTATCAACCAGGCTAATTCACCTACAATATTATTTAGGCTGATTCAAATATTTTATTAGACAAGATTTTCATTTATTTGATAATACAAATATTATTACCTTTACTGTTTAGTGTATCTGATAATTAATAGAAGAATTATTTTCCCAACCTTAGTTGACATCTAAGACATTTATCATCATGTCCCATTGGCTGAGTGATGGACAGTAGGGAAGCCACAGACCTCATGACCTCCTTCTGCCCACATATGCAGTGAAAACCCTGGATACTGTATCTTCCAGAATCTTATTTTTGTTATTTGCCGATGATAGCATTTTGGTTTGAACATTTTGTAGATACTGGCGGTGTTAGAAGTACAGTATTTACATACTCACTAATGGAGAAACATGCTGATTCTTTAAGACTTGTTCTTGGGTTTTTCATATCAGAGAGGCATCTTCACGAGTTGTGAATAAACTGGGAGGGTTACCAAATATCATGTAAAGTCATTTCTCAGTATTTTTAGTTTTTATGGATTGTTTTGTGCCTCAGATGAACTTTGGCTCTTCATGATGTAATGTATTCCTTTTATAAAAACAAAATATTTTTTATTATATAATTTTAAATAGATGCAAATGTTAATTTTCCTCAGTTATTATATTTTAGTAAATGGGAGCCAGTCATCTGCTTGATGCATCTTACTTGCTGGTCATTGGGTATGGGAGAAGTGACTCCTGCAGTTACTGAAATAACAAGAGGAAGTTAGGCAGCCTTTCCTTTAACATGAAAAGTCAAAAAAACGAAGAGAAAAATAACATACAGGTATTTATAATGGCGAATTCTTTTATCTATGTAGTATGAAACCCTGTATAGTAGATTAGAGTGTCTTTAATTAGAATGGTCAGAGCATCATCATTGTTTTATACCTCTATTACATGCTCGCTTGGGTTAGCCATGGTTGCTGGATGGTATGGTGTCCCAAGTACCATGAGGCAAGTTTTATAGATGGATGCTCTTCCTGTCTCCAGTTCATTTTTGTAGAGTGGGAACTGGGCATTACAGTACTGTATATATAGTACAGTATAAGACTTTCAGGTGCCCTTTTAGCTAGCAAGGCAGGGTCACTACTCCCTGAGGTAAACAGTGATTACCTGCCCAACCACAGTGCAGTACAGTAGAATAAAGCAATTGAAAGTTTATGTTTATGTGGGATATGTATGGTCAAAATTGTATACCTGTACTGTACCGTATTTAGAAATACAGCACAATATTATACTGTACTGTATACAATACTGTACCTGTAAAAGTACAGGTTTAGATACGTAGTACAAGCACAGTAATACCTACAGTGTTGTGTGTGAGCAAAATGAAGGAGAATAATTTTAGATTATATTTTATAAGTTGTCATTAATGAACATATTGATGACACTACAACAATCTTTAAACAATTAATTTCCATTAACACAAATATAAGCACATGGCACTGTAGTATAATAAAACTTAGATATACTGTATATTGACATGTAGCTACAGCACAATACTCTATACTGTATAGGAGACGGAATCCCATTAAGTTGTATCATGTATTGGTACAGACATTTACATGACAAGGCAGTACTATATGTATCATGACATACAAGTTTTGAACTGTACTACTGTACTGTACTACATCATTTAAAATCTTTTGGCAATAAAGGAGGTGTATTTTGTGATCATGCATAATAAACTTACAAATAAAAGTGTGAATAATTCTCATGTACCGCACCTCTTCTGAAAGATGTTGGGATCATTAATTTTATATTTATACTTTTAACTATTTACTTATAGATGTACAGTAATCTGAATTTCAGGGAACAGCGTATGTTCACCTCACGTAGAGCGCTGGACATAATGGTATACCCACATGCAGGGGTGCAGTGTTGCTGGTGCAGTGCTGTCTCAATAGCCATGGTTTTGATGACTCTTATTTGAAACAGAAAGTTATAGTATTTGCTAGTGATGGGGTGAATGTTGTCATGCTGGGCACCAAATTTGGTGTAGTTACAATTCTCAAAGAGTACTACCCTGGTATTATAGTTTGGCACTGTCTAAACCATAGATTAGAACTTGCAGTGGGTGATTCGGTGACAAGTTAATTGAGTTAATCACTTCCAATCATTTATGGACAAATTGTACTCAGTTAATAGCAAATCACCTCTAAATCAGAGGCAACTGACTGAACGTGCTGCTGAACTAGAACAACAGATTTGTAAAATAAGGCCGTGTTCTGAGCACCAGGTGGGTAGCCAGCTCATTTTGAACAGTGTTGGCGGTGTGGCATAACTATGAAGCATTATGTTCTCATTTTGAAAAGGCCGTGAAGGATAAAACAAGATCCTTATGCGACAAAATCCTCTGAAGGTCTGTTAAAGAGAATTTCTTCAAAACAGTTTGTTTTAGGCTTGTCTATAATGTATGACACATTGTATGAACTCAGTTTACTATCAGGGTGTTTGCAAAAATGCACCGCTAGGATTGTGTATGCAGACATACTGATCCACCAGAGCACAAGGTCGCTGCACGGACTGAAAGAGCGACTTGGTACAAAAACTCTTGTAACCCGAGAGGCAGTTGAAAAGGGAGTGTTTGGGGCAGTTTCACCAGTGAGAAACAGTAAGATCTCCTCCATCAACTATCAACCGTTTCTTACTAGTCCCATTAATGCTTAATCTAGAATATTGTATGTTTATGACTATATCACTGAAAGGCTCTGCTTTATCTGAACCCCAAGGTTACTATGCATCTCTATTAGAAGAATTGCATGTCCCTGATAAAGACTATTGGCATGCTGAAATGCCACTGAATTATGGAGAAGCTGCAATATCGTCTCTGTAAGCATTTTAAGCTGCCATCTGCTTCGGTAATAAATGCCTTCAGAGATTATGTGGAGGATCCTGGACACTGCATCTCCCAGGATTTACGCTCATTATTAAACTGCGTTCGAGTGATTTCCAGCAGTACTGCAGAGTGTGGGAGGGAATTCAGTCACATGAACTTGATGATAACACCAACACGCTCAAGAATTCACATAACTCGGTTGTCAGTACTTATGTTTGTTAAACTACACTATCCTCCACTGGCTCAATGGAATGCTACTCTATGTCACATCCTGGCTACTGCATCACAGATCAGCAGAAGACACCAGGACAAAAGTAGCTAAAGCCCCAAGTAAACATGTACAACCAGACCCTTTGTGGAAATTATTTTGAATCATCACTTGTATTGCTTATATTGTATGCTAGATATAAATGATATGCAATAAACTCTTAAATTGTGAATTTGTTATGAATAGTGGCTATTTAATATACTACTAGATAACCTCATGGACAGGAGAAGACACACATGAACTTCTCATTTGAAGTATTTTTTAACTAGCTACACACAATTTTTCTCTAAAATAATTTTTTTTAGGAATACAGGTATTATGTCATGTAATATGATAGTGAGCCACTGCTGCTATGCCTTTGCACCTCTAAAATTTTGGTATATATACTGCTTATATATATACGTACATAATACAGACATAAGAAATAGGTACAGTATATGCCAATGTATTTTGGGAGCTCCGGTACCTCAAAAGTTAGCGAAAATTGACTGTTTGCTGTTTTTACTGTAAATGGTTGATAGTGAATACTTTCATCATTGTGAGTTTTGATCCATTTACAGACCAGACCATTCTTTACATAAGTGAGCAGGCCACTTCCTGCTCCACTATTGTATGCTGTAAACCCAGCTGTCCTGGGTGCAGCTTTCTTCTGGGTGCTGGACTTGTAAGGTTCTTGAAAGCCATTGTAGATCATTAATTCTGCGGTTAACACTCCGGATGTTCCATGAAATGAACCTAAGCTTTCGTGTGACTCCTTCCACCTTGAACTTAGTAGAGAGAGTCGCACGTTGGCTTCATAGATCAACCTGACCAATAAGTTAACCGTTTCAAATTCATCACCACTGGAGTTATTGATAATGCGCCTCACAGCCCTTATTCCAGTAGGATTTTTATACACAGGTTCCTTCATTAGTCCCGCGAGTTCCTCCTCCGTAAATATTGGAAGAAGTACAGGGTTATGAACAGTTTTCAGGCCTGGGGTTATTAAAGAGACCACGCTGGCAGTCTTGGACTCATTATCCCCATTCATGCTTCCATCACTATCGGTCTCGCTCTGGCTACTCACCCTCAAGTTTGCATCATTATGAGAAGAGGCACTGTTACTGCAAGTGGTACTGAGTATGAAGACACATAAACAAACATTATGTAAGGCTGTAAGTCATGTCATGTTAATTGGGTGTGCCTGCCTGTATACAGTGTGTAGTGTTGAGATGGAGGCAGATGAGAGACACAGAGTAGGTTGAGGTGTTGGGTGGTGTATTGGGATCTTGTTTGCGTATAACATACCTGACACAGCGATTTTGAATAGCCTGCCTGACATGTGAGTGCCCAGCAGTGCACTGCTTCCTCACTGTAGCTATCACCATCATAGTGCCAACACCTAACCTGTTTCTCCTGAAGACTTTCAACACGTATGTTTAACTTGTACTTGTTGTGTACACAGGTAGACTGTGTCCATTGCATCGTTTATCATTGTGACGACATAAAAATATGACAAACTAAGTACTCATTGTACGTATTAAGATTAGACTAATTACATAGCTATGATTGTTATGTAAATATATATTGGATTAAACATTTATGTATGATTGCCTATGTATGACTTATTTGAAATAATAAAATTAATTGTATCCAACAGGTTTGACCGAATTATAATGTTCGAGTTCAGCGTCACGAGTCTGAATATTCCTTTAACCGCCTGATTGGCGGTTACAGGCACCATCTCCTTCAGAAGCTCCACTGACACTATCACTGCCATTGTTCACCGGTACACTTACTTGGCAGGCTTTAACCTGATCTGCATTGACTAATGAAGGATAGTCACTGCCTGTTGACTTCAGGTGGTGGAGGCGATCCGGCCGCATTGGCATCACTGAGTGGGACCGCTATTGTGGGTGTAGGCGGCCTCCCAGGACAACCGGGGTGCCAGGCCATCACACCCTCCTCCCTGCACCTGGGACACTGCCTCCTGGGTGGGGAGGTGTGGCTGTTGATTTCAGGCGACCCGACAGTGTTGCCGTTGGTGTCACTGAGTGTGACCACTGTTGTGGGTGGAGGCGGCCTCCCAGGACAACCGGGGTGCCAGGCCGTCACACCCTCCTCCCTGCACCTGGGACACTGCCTCCTGGGTGGGGAGGTGTGGCTGTCGATTTCAGGCGACCCGACTGTGTTGCCGTTGGCGTCACTGAGTCTGACCACTGTTGTGGGTGGAGGCGGCCTCCCAGGACAACCTGGGTGCCAGGCCATCACACCCTCCTCCCTGTACCTGGGACACCGCCTCCCAGGTGGGGAGTCCTGCTCTCTCCCCTCCTGAGAGGCAGCTTCCTTGGTGGGGCAGCTCCTCGTGCTATGCATTCCTGCGCAGATGCTGCAGGTGGCTGTCTTGTGACAGTATATCGCCACATGATTGACCCCGAAGCAGTTGTAGCACACCACAGGGGGAGGAGTCCACCAACTGATGTTACTAGGGGCACCACACATGCCGAAGAAACAGTATTCCTCAGGAGGTGGTTCCTTCCTTTTCCAAACAATGATGATCCTACTAAGTTGTGCACCATTCTTATAAAGTCTTCTTGCTCTGTGGACGCCCGGAAGTGACAGCGCCACTGGGGGAAGTGGGTGACAAGGTATTCCTTCATTTTCTTGGGTCGGACAGGTTCATCTCGCTTAATGAGTTGTAGTTAGCCGACCTTTCCATCAATAAAGTGTTGGATAGCCTCCGCCTCCTCTCGGCCGACATAGACGAGACGAGGGGCGCTACCTGTACATACAAAGTAGGTTATTATTGTATTAAATGGGTTAAGACATATTTCTCAAGGGATTAAGTCATTGTATTTATTAGGGTTAAATTTAAACTTGGGCTAATTCATTGTGCTCTTGGGGTTGGCATTGTACTTCAGGGGTAAGTGGCCATTTGTGTGTGTAAGTTCTTGTCTTTGCAATTGGAGTCTAAAGGTTTAACTAATTCTGTGCTCACAAAAACAGTAATTTGATGTATGATTTTGTTTTCTGTATGTTTGTGTGTTAGCGTGTGTGTGTGTGTGTGTGAGAGAGCCTGTGGTGTGTGTGTGAGAGAGAGCCTGTGGTGTGTGTGTGTGTGTGTGAAAGAGCCTGTGGTGTGTGTGTGTGTGTGTGTAAATTATTACTTAATGGAAACAGTTATCAGGTGGATTATTTGTTCGTCTAATAAGATTGTTCATAAACCTTATTTGTGTCTTAACTCCCTCGTGTTCTCCCGACTCCCCATTGACGACCTCCTCCCCTCCCCTTCCTAGCCTCTTCTTTTGACCCATCTGCTTTTTCCCCTCCCAGCCCCTCCCCTCACTGTGTATTTTCCTCCTTCTTTAGAACCAAACTCCTACTTTCTCTCACTCTTGTTTCTCATCCCCTACGCCATTATTCTCCCCTCAATCACCTGATACCCCCTACAGCTATCAGTTTACCCTCTGCTCCACCTCCGAGTTGCATTTCTCCCCCTTCCCCCACCTAGGCGGAGATGGTGGTGGGGGGGTGGCAGCTGGCACGACCACCAGGGGGCTGATGTCACCGTCAGGGAGGTCCTCTACTCCAGCACGTCGCCAACACCCCCTCCCT